ATAATCTTATCACTCACCAACTTATCTACCCATTTCTTTAAGCTTCGGCATTGATTATGAGCTTTTGGGGAATCTTTCTTAAGTAATGGATTGCATACTTGGCCTTTGAAATCCAAAACCCTATGAATTGCTCCTTAACTTGTCTTTTTAAATCTTTAAATCCTTCTTTAAGCTTTAGGATTCATCATGTGGATCAAGCTCGGGATTAACTTCATTTCTTCATTGATGTCTTTCTTGGAAATGTATCATACCTATCACAAACACTAAATGTAGACATTAGTCCTTAAAACACCATTAATGGTTTGTAATTGTAACGACCTAAACCCGTGGGTTCGAAACATCAACCGGGTCCTCATCAGAACCCGAGGTCACACAAGAGTAATATGGTAATTTCAAAATAAGTGAGAGGGGTGGGTTGACTCTAAATGAGTCAAAGGATAACCATTTAAGTCATCACATCCGTATGAACCCATTTCGTCTAGTTCAAGATGCAAGGACAATGTTATCACATAAATAGCCCATTCCGGTTTAGAAGATTTATGGAGTAGTCTGCACTAAAATGGTGATAACTTTCTTTATAGTTAAATTTTTTTAGTTAGGTTGGTATCATTGAAAAACTAACTCAAAATACTTGAATTTGGAGTCAAATTTGACCCAATTTGGTTAAGAAATGAAAGAGATATGGCTGTTGAAGTCAGATCAAGAAATCTGGTGCGTTGAAGGCATCAGTCGGCTGAAACAATGTGTCAGCCGGCCAAAACCATGTGTCGGCTTGCCAAAACAATGTTTCAATGTTACATACCTTCTGTTTTAGCTAAAATTACACTGTCGACTAGCAGGCTTATATCACCAGCCGGCTGACACTCCTGGGAGCTGAAAAATGAACCCTTTCTAGGTGCTCAAGGCATTGGATAACCCCATGGCATCAATAGTGACCTCAATTTGGTCTCAAACCTATCCCAAATAACCCAAAAACGTACATATACATAAAATGAATAAGGGATGCATCATGCATAATAAAATCATTCATCAACTCGAATCCCCAATCTATACATTTATGTTGTTTAAAACTTGTAACATTTCTAGCATAAATCTTAAAGGTCAATTACGTGCCCCAAATTACATTTGAAGTAGTCCAAAAGAATTTAAATACAAGTTTAGACCTTTAAGATCACATTTACAATGCTTCACAAAAAAAAATAAAAAAAAGCATCAACTAAGCCTTAGTTACAAGATTGTCGAAAGATGCTCCTGTCAACCCTAACTACACATGTGAGGGTCCATCCTCAACCGCATCATTGCCATAACCTAAAAAAATGTTAATGGAAGGGGTGAGCACGGAGGCTCAGTAGAAGATGTCTAAGGCGTCAACTTTGAACTCCCTTGAGCCATGTAACACATAATAAGGATAAAAGAGAACTGGGATCATACAATGGGAATTTTATGGAATTTAAACCACATTTCAATCCAATTAATGGCATAGATACAACTTTGTACACGATGAATGTAAATACAATGCAATGCAATGCATAACCATTTCCAAGCTTGGTCTCAAACCGACCCTAATCCCCACCTACGCTAACCGACTTTACCGAGCTAAGATTGATATTATCCCTGGCCTCTAAACCGACGACCATTTGGGCAGGTATCAACATTACACGTCTTACACCGGACCGCGCTCCCTCTAGGTCAAGTTAGTACCGGGCTTGCGATACTCGATTTATTTCTAAATTTCTCTTTCTCGCCTATTCCAAGATGGCTAACTTGTCAATCTCATTCAAATTCCCCACCATTCTAAAATGGCTCAAATGTCATCCTCATTCAATATCCTCACCATGTCATGCATATGAATGCAATTGCATCAGTTGTGATTTCAATTTCACATGTGTTAATCATAGAATAAACATGGCATTTTATAGAAAAATGAACATAAGCATAGCATTCTCTATACATCAAATAAAAGCATGCTCATTATAAATTTCATAACATCACAATCATGCTATTTTCACATATTAAACATATTTACATGTAAGTGGTAATGTAAGCTTAATTAGCATAATATAACGCATCTTTCATCACATAAAATATGCTTAGAACACCTCATGTACAACCATCAATTTAATCCCATACTTGTCATTCAAATATAAGATGTAGGAGGGATCACATGACAATACTCAAACAAAGGCAAAGTTTGAAACATTAAACACCCTTACCTCAAAGTGGTGCAACCAAACAAGCCCTTAGCTAGCCCCAAATTTTGAAGTCCTCCTAGTTCCCTCAACTGTGGTGTCAAATGATAGCTCTCGTCGAGTAGAACAAATTTCTCTTCTTGGTCTTATCTCAAATCTCACTCTAAACCTCTAAAATAAAGCTTTGAAACATAGAAGGTGTGTATGTGTATATAGATATAGAGAGAGAAAGAGAAATGTTCGAGACAGAGAGTATTTGGCCGAGAATGAGGAGGAAGAAAGGCTAGCAAAGTCATTAAAATGAATGTATGGTCCTCCTTGTGCCAAGTGTCAAGCTCTAGGTGGTTACTAGCTTTTGACCAAGTTACCACCTTGCCCTCACTCGTCCATTACAATCCCATCCATGTCCCACAAAATATCTTCTCTAATATATAGATACATGTTTATGCATATATGTATGAAATGTCTACAATGCCTTAAAAAATTGTGTAAAGTTCACGAACCTAGAAATCGTCCCGATTTTTAAAAAATTCTAAAAATAATCTCGTCACTTCTAAATCATGAGGCGTCCACACATTTCTAATGGAGTTGAGACGCATGATCCTTGAAAATAGTATCAGTCGTCAGCATGGGATCCATCCGCTTTAATCATTTTTGGCACCCAAGGATCGCTAGAATGAGGAGGATAATAAAACAAACTAGTACCAGATCCCCCATCATGGGCAAAATGGGCCTCATGAGCTTGAATTGCCCCAGCTAATAGTTTATGTTGCTTGGGATAAGGGACAACAAGATCATCCGGTTCAGCACTTAAGCCAGCATCTTTCCTCTTTTCGAGAGCCACCTCCTCAGCCGTCTTCTCTTTGCCTGATCGGCAAACTTTTTTTTTGTAGTCTTCTATTCAACTGCCTTCCTCCAAAACTTTGGAATCCTCATAATTTTTAACGATCGAGCATTCTTTAGAAGTTTTGGGGTCAAAAGAAGATATATAGAAGGAACGATATTCTATACTTTTTTACTTCAAATAATCGTACCTCCCCTTTACCACGAAGTAGGAAATTATAGATGAATTTGAAAAACCTAATTGTACCGACCTCATAATCATAGTTGGCCTTATGGGATTTGAGAGGGACGTAAAGGGTAGGTTGAAATCCCAAACTTAGCAGGAATGGGAAATTTATCAGAGGATTTGGTCTTGCAATTTCCACTTACAACTAAGAGATAATTTTTTAACCCCTTCTCGGAGTTAGGGTTGTACTTGCAGATCCTTTTATCCCTAATTGGGAAGACATGGTAATGATCATCCTCATAACGGATCCTATTGATCTGATAACAAAGAAAATGGTTTAATATTGTAAAATTGAGGTCACGCCTCTGGTTCAGGATCAATAGCATGGAAATGACCCTAAGGAAATTTGGGTTCACTTGCAAAGGAGCAAGGTACAGTCTGTTCAGAACGCCAAGATAAAAGGGATGCATATGGAATCAAGTGTATCTATCTTGGTTGAGAAGAAGATCATCTCATAATTCCTAATAACCTCACAATTCTGATGGTTCCTACCTTTGGGATACGATCGAAGGGAGACATCGATCGGCTGGAATCTGACAATTTTCCCTCACTTTCCGGAGATCAACAACTAATTTTCAAGAATCGTCTTGAGAATTTGCACTAAACATCAAGAAACGGAAAAGAATTGAGAACAGGAAATGAGGAGAGGAAAACTAACCTTATAAAGAGAAGAGAAAGGATCACCAGAGCTAGACACCAGAAAGAAGCGTTGACCACCAGAAATTTTTTAGTAAGCACAAAACGAAAACAAGGAGAAGGGTTAAATTTGTGCAAGTATAGATGAAAACACACACACATATATGGGATGATGTGATGGCAATAATGATACGAAACAATGCGTGATCTAGGACAACTTTATGGAAGTTGAATAGCTCAAATTCCCTTCTTTATTCAAAATATAAAAAAATTGGGGAGGGAAAATTTACTATAATAAAGGCCTAACACCTGCGCAACAGGCTGAATGCGGATCAAAATCAAAGAAATGGGTTGAATTACCCATGAGACGATCGGCCCAGTGAAATTCAACCAACCAGTCAGTACAACATTGAAATTCATGATGACCCAAAATGAACCAACCAGAGCCCAATAAAAAACCAACTTGTACCCCAGGAAAAGAGCCCCAATTGGGTTTGCCCGTATGTAAAAAGGAAACAACTCCAAAGGAAGGGCAACTCTTTTTTGGAGAAAGAAATCTTTGAGGTTATGTAGAATTTTTTTGCACCTACAACCCCTTTAAATTAAATTATTCATCTAATCTTTTTAATAATTGTTTTCAAGTTGTAAACCTAGGCTCGAAACTTTTCAATAGAGAACTCTCATAAGGAAATCAAATTAAATTTTAATCTGGTTAAACTGACAAATTATGATACTTTCACTAATTGGTTCTAACCGAGTCAAACGTGTTGAACTCCAAAATACAAATTGTATGTTGAATAACAAATTTTCACTATGGGTCTAACCGAGTAAAACAAGTTGAAGATTCATTGGAATGGCCTAATTAATTATCACGAGTCAGCCGCTTGTCTTAAGCTATTGAATACAATGTGGGACAGGCTGCCACAACATTATAATAAGCCACGAACAGGAACATTGTTCTTGACAAAATAGGATCATTACCTTGCTGAATATTGAAAGAAACAATGTAGCAGGCTTTATTGTCCTGCTGAATATTTGAAGAAACAACGTAGCAGACTTCAAAGTCCACTCGTTCTGTCATGATTAATCTTTGACAAGGGCAGAACTAGAAGAATTGAAACTTTCAGTGAATTCACATTGCCATAAACAACTCTTATCTGGTGTTTACAAAGTTAGATATCACAGATACTAGAGGCTAATCATCAAAACACAAATAACAAATACTATGCTAATCATCAAACACAAATAGCATCACCTAATATACAAGTAAATGCGACATAGATTTAGCGCCTGTAACATATACCTCCACAATCGCTTACAACCAAACTCTAACCAAGACCTCCAATCAACCCTTCATAATGCCAAAATACTATGAATCCCACCAATGAAACCCAATAATATTCTAGACTCCAAAGCTCATTTTAAACTCCAATTTCCCGAAAACCCCAAATCCAAACTTTTCAGGTCTCGATGTAGCACTGGTTATGAACCCTCAGACGACAAAAGTTTGACCAGTAATCCCATCCTGAAGATGCAGAGAACCATCCTTCATCAAGTTAAGGCTTAAACTCTTGAACCTCTCTCTTGAATACTGCCGAGATGCCTTTCTCCAATCAGTTCCAGTTTTCATCATCGCAACAAACTCCTCATAACTGATTTGCCCATCCTGAAAGAATATCACACAACCATTATGACAGAGCATTTTGTATAATAATTATGTGAAAGAAAGGGAGAGGTGCTACAATGAGTGCTATTTCTACAAACCTTCATTAATTTAAACATTGCCAAGATTTCAAGATATTTTGAAATCGAAATCAAGTTTAATCACAAGTTTTAATGTAGTAATGAATTTCCAAAAACTATCTGAAAAATATGTTGGATATCACTTCGACACCAACTACTTAGGAGATGGTGCTTTCTGAAGAAGCAATCAAGGAGAAAGACAAAAATCTTATTTGATTCGTTAAACAATAATAATAATAGTAAGGCTTGTACAACAAACCTTGTCTGTGTCCACCTCTCTGATGATCTCATTGAGTACACCAGCATCAATATCACCCGACTCATCGGCTAGGGCTTCTCTTAGCTCATCAAGCTCAATATATCCACTTCCGTCCTTGTCAAAAAACATAAATGCTCTGCGAAAATGTTCATCATTCTCCATCTTCTGTAGGTGGATTGTTACTGCTACAAATTCTCCATAATCGAGAACACCATTCCCATCCACATCGGCCTAAAGAACAGTCACATGGTGAATTTTTATTAGCATAGAAGTTCAGCCCTGAAGTACAAAACTGTATTTGGTAATCTCTCTTGAATGCTGTCATTAGACGTTTTACGTATATTAAAGTTGATGATGTGCTGATGCATGAACAAGATTATATCAAAGAATTACAATCAAAGGGAAATTTTTTTTTTTTTTTGTTGCTAAAACCAAGTCCTTCAATCCACCACAAATAGAATAAACATTAATACAAGAAACATTCAGCAGATGTTGATGAAACTATTTTCAAATATTTCAAAATAATATAATAACATCAAGAAAATTTCAATACCATTTAAAAGTTATATGTTTAAAATTTCATTGGTTCTATAATTTTCAAAAGTCAGGTTTTGTTTAGGTTGCATTCTAGAACGAAGCACAGAAAAATAAGTTATATGCAGATGGGTTCTCATTTGCGAATTGGTGGTGTAATTCTAAACAGATCCAAATTTGTCCAGAGTTCTTTCAAAATTTTCAGGGAACAGTGCAAATGCTTTTTTGATTTTTCAGTCCATTCTACCATATTTTTTCATATTGAATTTCATCCTATATGGAGAAACTTTTCTCAGATTTATCCATTTCCAAAGGATTTACCAAATCAATTCAGGCACAGTGTCCAATTCAAATTTGGCCAACTAGTTGTAACTTTAATTATTATATGCGAGGATAGCAGCCAATGTGTAATTCAGCAAACATTTAAGCACAAGAATTTAGCTGTCTTCAACATATCAGATAATTTAATAATATTATATTTGGTGAGCATGGATCATATCATAATATAGAGTAGAAAGGGGCCGAATAACACGTTTACCAGTCACAGTATTTACTATTAAGTTCTTAACCATGACTGATACTATAAATAATGAAACTTAAAAAGTTTTATCTTTGACACTAACATGATTAAAAGAAATGCAAAATCTATTAACTTCTTTCAGTAGAAGACATCTCCTTTGGCCATGCATTGTGTTATTTTTATCCATGCTCACACTAAAACATGCCTAGGCATCAACGAGTAAGTTTTCACTTCATAAAGATCATGGGATGCAATATAGTGAAGTAGACAATATATAGAAGTGGATAATGGAAATTCAAAAGATGTAATTATATTTTATCTGAATATGGATGTATAAAAATGAAGTGCAACATTTGTTGTATGCAACACTGCAAATTCTAAAATCACTATAAGAACCATTGCTATTTTTTTTATTAGACCAAGAATGGAACAGACTAAAACTAGAAAGGCTTGTAATATACTTAAATGAGTCTGCTGTATGTCAGAATCATATAAACATAAGCCACTTGTGATGATATGGAAAAGTAAACCTCCTAAATGATACACTCTTTGGAAAATACCAAAATTTCTACTTTTCTGAGATAAAGGAGTGACATTATTTCTACCTACCAAATAAATAAATAAATACACTATTTCTAGTGAACACCAAGTTTCCTGATTGTGGAGCTGTCCATTGAAAGTTCACTCACATTCAAGAAGATCAAATAATGATTTACTACAGGTTGACAATGCAGCAAGGGCAGGAGGAAAGCAAACGAACCATGAACTTAGGCAGGGTAAGACCCATTGGCCTAAAAATAGCAGCAGTATGGCGAACAAGGATGGGTGTAGCCAAACAAAGGCACTTGGCATCACAAGCTTTGTTAAGTAGAATAGCAGTAAGCGTAACATGATAGTATTTTGTGCTGAAATGTTCCAATTCGAGGATAAGAGCTAGATTTTTCTCATAGCGTGCCTTAAGTTCAATAACAATGGCATACCGATGTCATTCATGTGACAATCAATTGAAACTGTATACTCCTACAATATTCAATACAGCTATAAAATCCATCATTTGACATCAAATCTGGGTCCAATGTACGGGACTGCAACAGATGTACAAATTAGAAAAGGATCTCTCAAATTTTACAGTGTCATAATTCTTAAAAGCAGACAATACTTCCAGTAGAAAACAAATCTAATGCAGGATGGGCCTAGATCAAGTTGAATATAGGATTCAAACTCCTGACATAAGAGTCGTGAGAGAAGAAAATACCAGTAGATACACGTAACCAAAATAGTCTAGACGCTACATTGTAAACAATTGATTAACTCTCATTTTGAAACCCTAAAACCATTCTTGAAATCCCATAAATTGCGTCAGGGAAGTAGCTTTCCATTTTTGTTTATTTCTGTCAATGTCAACAGACATTTTCCTACAACAAATATGTGATTCTATATACACGTTTGTGTGTGTGTGTGTGTGTGTGTTATAGATATCATAATCAACAAACCTTAGCCAACTATTTAGTAGAAATGGTATACAGATAAGAAAAAATATGGAGATACGGGTACATAGGCAAGATATAAGTACAGCTTCTTTGTATTCATTGAGTATTAATGTCCAAAAAGGACAAGATACGAGTACAGCTTCTTTTGTATGAGTATCATGCTCCATAGGCTGTCTATGGCCATAACTCCTGTTGAACATGTAGATCCCTATGTCACTTCTATATTTATTGTCCTCATCATGTTGGATAAGTGCATGAACACTCTCCTAAAACTTGCTGCCAAAACTGATGTGCAAAAACTCTGAAAGTGAGTTTTTACAGCTGAGTATAATCAGTTTTTATGACTAAAAGGTTAATAAGAAAAATGAGATTTAGGGTTTTGCAAAATTGTAACAAAGGGTTAAGAGGGTTATTAGTTTCAGGCCTGCTTTGGGCTGTGAATTGTATCTGTAACCAGTAACACAAGTTATTTTGGGTCCTTTGATGTTCTATGGTTGAATGAGTGAGAGAGGAATGGATTAGGCTTGTCCCATAGGTTAATAAAAGTAAAAATAAAGGTTAATCAGATCTGTTGTCGCATGATTTAAACATGTAGAAGAATTAAGCAAAAGAAGAAGAAAATCAGAATAAGAAGTTAGGAACCACTACTAGGGTTCCTTAATTATTAGGCATCATGCCTAGGATTTAAATTGTAACACACCATCCACAAAGAGAAGTTCTGCACTCTGGAAGATAAGAGAAAAGAATGAAATTATAACCGGAGGAATGAAGAATATTTTATCACTAGGGAATTTGAAATGGCAGTACAGTGTACTATGCAACGAAAAATGGAACAGGAGAGTCATTTCAAACTAAAAAGAAATAGGATTAAGATAAGTACAGCCCACAATATGATATCATACAACAAAACATGCATAGAGTATACAATTCAACAAGTGAAGCAACTTTCATAGTAAATTTTACAGAAACAGAAAATTTTACCACATCCATCAGCAACTTGATCTCTGGTTCAGCCAATTGTGAACCAACCTTCCGAAGCCCAGTCTTCAGTTCCTCGTATGTCACTTTCCCGTCATTGTCGGTGTCCATCACTGCAAACATCTCTCTTATTACTTCTACCTCTTGAACAGATAAGTGTTCTGCAATCACCTAAAGAATTTGATTGAACAAACCCAAATCATATTTCAAAGAAGGATGACCACCACTAATACATGAAAAGTATCAGTCAACATAGGCTTTCTGTACAAATTGGCCATATGAACAGCATTTTCATTACACTTACAAGCACAAACTGACAGTTACACTTAAATATATACTAAATGCTTACTCTCAAGGCCTTCTTTTTGAATCTGTTCATCATAGAGAACTGTTTGAGCCTTGTCCTCACTATATCTCCTAACGGGACATTTGGAGCCTTCTTTGCATTTTGTATCCACGGGTGTTCTGGCAAAAAGAATAAAGCAAACAGTGATACACCTACTAAACAAGAAGTCCTGTTGCAGAAAGAATTCAGTAAACCTTGCAATACACAAAATAAAGCAATTTATATATACTACCCCAGGTGCCTAAAAGGATTCCCATGGATTCCCATGTCATCAAAGGAATATGGCAATGTATTTGCTTACTTGCAATGAGCTATATGGTAGATCTATCCATCCCTATTCCAAATCCCATTTAGAAGTCTCAGTCCCTTGGCAGTCTCGAGTTTGCGGCCCCAGACATTTAGCCACTATGATCTCTCATATGCATCCCATTGGAGACTGGCCAACATTAAATGTTTGCCTATCAATGAGAATCATCGGAATTTTGAGGTCACCACCAGCCTTGCAGCTGAGGTGGTATCCAGGGGATCTCCAACCCAAGGTCAGAGATTCAAGTCCCCAACCTTATAGGTTTTAAATAAATGGTTGAGTGTATGATTCTCATAGAGCATCCATGAGAGAGAGAAATTTGAGGTCAATAGCACTCTGATAAATCATCCTCTCCTTGCTCAACATATCATCCATAAAACATAGAGACAACAGTGCTATCTAAAAATAGAAAATGGCCAGATAAAAATAGAAATTTATTGACCCACAAACTCAAATTCAGCATTGTATATTCATAGTAACTCAGCATTGTTTATCTATAGAGATTTACCAAGAACCTGCTGAGCATTCAAACGCTTTCTGGGATCTGGCTCTAACATCTGCCGCACAAGGCTCTTGGCACTATCAGAAATCTGAGGCCACGGTTCCCTTTTAAAATCAATCACCCCCCGCAAAATCGCCAGAGCAACACCCTGTTCAGTTTCTGCAGCAGACAATACAAACAAAAAATGAAACAATTAGATAAACCCAACATAACCATGCTCATGCAAACTCCCTAACCCCAACATGAAGAACAGTGATACCTGCCCAAAATGGAGGAACCCCACATAACAGAATATAAAGAATCACACCGGCACTCCATATATCAACCTCAGGTCCATAATTCCGCTTCAAAACCTCTGGCGCCATGTAGTATGGACTCCCCACAATCTCTGAAAACTTCTCCCCTGAATAAAATTGTAAAGAGGTTGAACAAATTCATCAATCAATACCCAAACCTCACATTATATAATTCAAACTTCAAACTCAATCAAAAATTAACTAAAACCCATCGAGAATCTAAAACCAAGGAAAAGTATCCAGAACTTCAATAATTGTATCAAATGATCAATCTAAAACCCATTAAAAATCTCAAAACCGATGAGCAACACTATTAAAAATACCCACCTAGAATCTAAAACCAAGGAAAAAGATCCAGAACTTCGATGATAACTGTATCAAATGGTCAATCTTAAAACACATTAAAAACCTCAAAACCGATGAACACCACAATTAAAATTACCCATCTGGAATCAAAAACCAAGGAAAAAGATCCAGACCTTCGATGATAAATGTATCAAATGATCAATCTAAAACCCATTAAAAATCCCAAAATCGATGAACAACTCTAGAATCTAAAACCAAACCAAAGAAAAAGATCCAGACCTTCGATAGCGTTATCAAATGATCAATCTAAAACCCATTAAAAACCTCGAAATAGATGTTTTAAAAATCCAAAATTAGATATCAGAGCCCATGAACACTATCAAAACCTATATCCCAAAAAAAGAGAAAAAAAATAAAATCAAAATTCAATTGCCCAACCTAAAAATAAGCCAAAACCCACTAAAAAAACTCAAAAACCCCATATGGAAAAACATAAGAATTCAACAAACCCATCAACAGGAATAAAAAATTCACCAACATACCGAGCTTAAAAAACACAGACAACCCAAAATCGATCGCCTTGAGCAGCAAATGCTCCTCCTTATTCCCGAACAAGAAATTCTAAATCCCATTAAAAATCTCAAAACCTATGAACAACACAATTAAAAATACCCATCTGGAATCAAAAACCAAGGAAAAAGATCCAGAACTTCGATCATAACTGTATCAAATGATCAATCTAAAACCCATTAAAAACCTCAAAATCGATGAACAACTCTAGAATCTAAAACCAAAGAAAAAGATTCAGAACTTCGATAGCTTTATCAAATGATCAATCTAAAACCCATTAAAAACCTCAAAATGGATGTTGTAAAAATCCAAATTTGATATCAGAGCGCATGAACACTATCAAAACCTATATCCCCAAAATAAAAGATTACTTTTTTCAAAATCCAACAGCCCATCCAAAAAAAAAAAAAAAAGCCCAAAAACCCACTAAAAACCTCCAGAACCCATATCAAAAACCATCAGAATTGAACAAACCGGTTAACAAGAATCGAAAATTCACCAACATACCAGGCTTAAAAAACACAGACAACCCAAAATCGATCGCCTTAAGCAGTGAATGCTCCTTTTTATTCGCGAACAAGAAATTCTCGGGCTTCAAGTCCCTATGCATCACTCCATTCTCATGACACATCCTCACAACCTCCGCAATCGTCCTCGCCACTCCCGCCGCAGCCCGCTCGCTGTAATGCCCCCTCGCGACGATCCGATCGAAGAGCTCCCCACCCTCGCACAGCTCCATCACCAAATGCACAGCCTCGTTGTCCTCATAGGTGGCCCTCAGCCTCACCACGTTGGGGTGATCGGGCAGGCTCGACATTATCGCCACCTCGCGGCGCACGTCCTCGATGTCCACGGCGGTCCTCAGCTTCTTCTTCGATATGGACTTGCAAGCTAGGGCTTCTCTGGTCTCTCGGTCCGTACAGAGGTAGGTGATGCCGAACTCGCCCCGACCCAGTTCGCGACCCAGCACGTACTTGTCGCCGATTCGGGACCGGTGACTGACGTCTTTGAGGACTCGGATCGGCGCGGGTGAGTCGGCATAGGGGTTGGGTACGCTCTCTCTGGTCTTCTTCTTGTGGTGACTGCGGTCCTTTCGGTGGTGCTCTTCGTCTGTGGTGTCTGGTATTACACAACAGGTGTTGCAGTTACCCATGGTGGTTGGGTGGGTGGGTAGCTAGTTTTTTCCGCCGTCCACGGTGGTGATGGAGGAGGAGGTAGTTGTGGTGGTGCAGAGCATTTGCACGGGCACGGCAATGAATTTGGAAAACGCGGGGTCAGTTGAGAAAAAAAGTTGTTTTCAAAAAAAGTTATTATCATCATAATAATAATATAATATTATTATATTAATATATGTATTATGTATATGTATATGCCATATGTTGTGTGTAGATGGATATATATATATATATATATAGATATGATCACATGTATATGGCTTCAAGGATGGGATAATGATGATCTATTGAGATTAATTAAGTTGTTGAGTCAAGAACATGTTATGACTGCTTTAATTTACGGAAATGACCCTGTGGTTTATGTCTATTTATTTGGGATGGGACTTGGTCACTTGGGTTTTGGTCTCTCAGTCCTAAAGTTTGTCTATTTTTTAATTTTTGACTCTTAAATTTCTATGATGTCTGGCACTATCAATGTCAAAAAATTAGAAGTCTCAAAATTAATTTTTGACTCTTAAATAGTTAAATTTCTATGATGTCTGGCAGACTGGCACTATAAATGGTCAATGAGATTTCGTTTACTTAAAAGTTTATTTTATTTTAAATAAAACAGACATTTTAAGTAATTTACTAAATAGTAACGCTATCAAGGAAAAACAATTATAAGAAGAGGAAAACTGATACTCTAAACGTATTTATTGAACCAAAGTGAGAAATTATTCGTTACAAATACTCTATTAAAGCACAAATATCAATTTTTTGTTCTATTGTAAATCTATTTTGCTTAGCGGTCTATTTCATCAGGTTATCGTCGTAACAATTGTAATGAATAATTTTTTGACCAAAACAATCAAAGTCTTTCAATGCAAGTCATACTCATATTTGAGCCCCACTTTACTTCATCAAAGGTCTCAATTGTTTCGGCCTAATCAGCCATATGTCACTACTTTAATAGTTCTTTTATTTTATTTTTATTTTTAAAAGATATGAGCTCTCTTTATTTTAAATTTATTTTAAATTTAAAATAAATTTTTTTACTCCGTAATAATTATCTTAATTTAACAATTAATAACAAGAGCTTTTTTTTTTTTTTTTTCATAGAATTACTCTTCTTAAATATATACTATATTAGTTGAAGAAATTAAGAGGACCTGCAGTCCAAGTCCTTGTCTTGTGGTGGAATTTTGGGAATGTGGTCAAAAAGCTACTGTTTTTTTCTTCCTTGACGCGGCAAAAGCCGGTGAGAGGTGAGAAATGTGATTGTGGGAGTATTTAATAGTCCATATTTTGTCCTTCACAATGTCGGCTTAAAGATACCAAACAATTACGTAATTAGCAATTTAATTGAAAATTTCAAATTAAATATATATATATATAGACACACACTATTTAACCTTCTGAGAGAAAAAAAAAAAAAAAAAAAAGAATATATATACACACACATGACACATAGAAGAAAGCCCAACAAATATAGAGAAAAATTAAGGGATTCATTGAACGAACCTAGCTAATATACTACTAATCTCGCATATGTTATGGTTTGGGTGGTAAAACGAAGGGCTGAGATCTTTTGGGCACTAGTCGTTGGAGTTGTTCACCAGTTGCAACTGTACTGCCGCCAAGAAACAATACATTAATTAGGAGAACAAAATGTCACTCTATAAGAGAGATAACTAATAGATTTTATTCTCAATAGCTATTATTGAAAGGAAAAAATAAAATAAAACTATAATGAAGCGGACAAGTTACCGTCAACTTTATGATGTTTGTACAAATATCGAAATAAGCATCTAAATTATTTGAAAGAGAATGATATAATAATTATATGTAAAATTTTTATATCAAAGTTTATTTACATTAAATTACACTAATCAGTTAAACTTTTATGTTTTATTTCTTATGTGTTCAACTATTAAATCGTCATTTTAACCGGCTCGTATGAATTTTTTTTTTTTTTTTTTTTTTTTAAGGTAAATTGAAATTCTTTGCTGTAAAAACATTCTAATATGGCCAGGCACTGATAATAAATTTTTTATTATTATATTTTTTACCTCTAAATTTATATTTTTTTGTATTTATACTCATAAAATTTTGAAATTGCCCCACTAAAATTATGAAAAAAAACTCCTCTATATAAATTTATCCCCTCTCATATGAATTTCTAGATCCGTCCCTGAATATGGTTAACGTGAAAATGTACTATATGCACTATTTTTAGTGTTCAAAATGTGTTAATTTGAAGGAGCGCTCATGACAATTACTATAAAGTCATGTTCACTATAGCTTTACTTTTTTTGAAATACAATGAACTTTTTTTTTTTTTTTTTTCATTAGCAACAAACAGACTCACACACCCACATGGTCTTACTAGATTTGAACCCTCAACCTTCTACTTAAAAATATGAGAAAGGATCAACCACTTGGGTATATAGCCTTTCGTCAATGAACCTTTTTTTATTTTTAAGAAATTCAAGCAAATTGTGTAAATAGAAAATATGTATAAAGGATAGGGTAAGAAACCCAAAGTCTAATGGGCTACACAGCCCAACCATAGTCAGAGCAGCCCATAGGCACAAACCAAGCCTAATGCGATTAAGGCAACATGGATATAAACCCAAATACATCGCCAGATCTTGTGGCCCAATCCAACTCCAGAGATTAGCTTTACCATCCGAATTCCAATTCAGGCCAATTTAGATAGGAAAGAGAGATCGGGTGGTCAAGGTCGTGGTCGTAAGCAATCGACCAGAATCTCCCATTCCTGAGAAAGACGAGATGCCACGGAAGATTTTAAGTAAAAGAAGCTTGTTTCGAACATCATCGGTGATTCTACGAAGAACTTAAACTTGAGAGGATTGTGATGTATTACATAATTGAGAGTTGTGCTCATTGCAGATGTGGTAAATTAGGGCTCAAGTAGCTAAATGGAAGACAAAGGCTTCACTAGACTTAGAGCTCCAATGATATGATGACCATGCGATAAAAGATCTCTAACTCATAAAAGACGAAAAAGAGCCACACTTCATTTGAATGAAAGCCCAAAAGAGCTTGGAGAATTGACAAGTAAAGTAAAGGTATGAATGGTTTCTCCTGCCGCTCAACAAAGAGGGCAGTGATTTGGAATACGTTTATATGCTATGCTTCTTCGATAGAGTGTGGGAGTCGATCATAGACTGCAAACCGCATGATGAAATTGTGTTTAGGGATAGTAGCTAATTACTATACCAATTTAGACCAATTGACAAAGGGATGGGCTATAGAGAGGGAGGAAATGGTGTGTTTGAGACTAAATTATCCAAATGAGAAGGGCGTCCACAGATTATTCAGAGAGAGAAGTGGGAACCAGTAAGGGGTTTATTAAAGTAATTATTTACTGGGAACTCTTTGAGAAAGTCTAAGTGTCACCATTAATGTAATTACTGAGCTTTGGAAACATTAAGATCTTAGATGAGTCGATGAAATGATGATCAAATCATTGGTGCAAAGGTCCATAGGAGTTCCTGTTATCATACCAAAAGGTAGTATTCCTGCCACTACCTATTTTATTTTTTATCATCTTATCAACCGTAGGTCTAAATTGTAGCATATTTCTAAGGACAAGACTTGCCTACTCACTAGTGAGTAGGTTTTCCCTACTGACCGCTGATGTGGTCCAATCTCAAATGCACAAGTAATCCGTAATTACAAAATCAGGAAAGTGATAAATAAGGAAATCAGGGAGGGTGACTGGATTTATTCCAAAAAAAATATTGTCCTTTTTTTTTATCACTTTCCTGATATTATAATTATAGATTATTTGTGCATTTATGATTGGACCACATCAGCGGTCAATGGGAATGACCTATTCACCAGTTAGTAGGCAAGTCTTGTCCTATTTCTAATGCTTTGGGAGCTATTGGTGGATAGCAGCCAAATGTACTTTGAGATAGATGCTCTGTTCATAGTTTCCAAGTCAGGAATCCCCAACCCACCCTCGGTTTTAGGCTTCTAGATATTAAACCATGCAATTTTGGCACCAGACTTCTTCAATTTTGTACATGTGCATAAAAAAAGATCTAAAAACATAATAAATTGCTATACAATTAGTAAAATATGATACAATAAAAAAAATGAGTTCAGATACGTATAAATATTATTCAAATTTTTCTTAAAAAAGGTTAAAAATTTCTGCAAAAAAGGATGGAGATAGAAAATACGAATTAGAATTCGTTCAGGTATAATAAGTTTTTTTTTATTAGAAATTCGATACTAAAAATTTGGCCATACATACATACATACATATATATATATATATATATATATATATATATATAGCATTGTAAACAATTTCACTTTTAACTACAGAACTCGTGCAAAAATATAAATATGAACAAGCAGACCACAAGGTAGAAAACATTATAGAAAATCAAATTACAATAATGAAGTAAAAATACCATAATTAGGCTTATGTTAGGACTTTACATTCAACTATTTAAGAAAAAAGGGGAAGGGGAAGGGGAAGGGGGAAAGGGGGGGGGGGGGGGGGAAGTGTCTGCTTATAAAATATCTTACATTTTGTCTGTGTATATATATTAAATGAAAGAATAGTGATCAATTGGCAATAGGAAGTTTGGTTACATATGGACTCTATTCGTGCAAACTAAAATAACGGAGAGTTGTTCACTTGGTATATAGTCGTTGTGCAAGTAAAACGCTATGCATATGTTCATATTTTTGGGCATATATGATACGTATCATATATAAAACGCGAAAAATTTGTTGAAGGTAAAAAAAATACACATTTTTCCATATGATTGAATTCTAGTCAGCAGGCGGGAGTATTTTATATTTATACGGATGGACACAACTTATACGCGTATGATACGCAAATTAATCAACTAGGGATTGTTGTTATGACATTCTTAGGTAGGATAAAGTATGAAGTCTAGAAGAGATGAATGATGTAAAGGATGGATTTAATCAACTATAGCCTTCTTGCATAAGATAGCTTTCTATTTGTCTAGTGTTAAATTCTAGAGGTGATTTTGTTGACCAAGGTAATGCAATCAGTGGCTTTCAAGGAGGTAGAGGTAAGAGGGAAACCTAAGTGTTTGACTGGTAAGGAACCTTTCTCAAAGCCTAAGA